CTCCTAAACACCCTGTGGATGTGCAACTTTTTCTGACGTGACTCTGGAATAAGACAAACGGTGTCAAAATGCCTACTAATTGCACACAAGTAGATTGTTTGTCTTCGAGAGAGTATTGGTAAATATCAACCTGGTAACGATATTTGGTCAAGCGTTTTAACAGGGGTAGGTTACTGGTCGAAGGGTAACCGTTTGCAGTCATTGTATCTTGTCAACTCCCTGGGTAGATAGCCAATACGGACAGTAACTTCCATTGAATGTTCCTTTGGAACCAGTGCTGTTGGTGGATGCATGGTTCTATATTCGGCAGCTTCTGACTACTAAGCAAGAGTCCCTTGGCGGCCCAATCCAACCCCACGTGACGACCAAACTTATCAGTAACCGGCTGAAGCTTTCACCTGGTTTTTTTTTAATGAAAACTTCACGTCGTTCCGTAGTAAGGCGCACAGAGAATCGAATAATCACTTTTGCTGTTTTCTTAGGTGCTCATTTTAGCCAATGATTCTTACATCTTATGTTTTGTGCTTGTCCCAACCGTGACTCATATGCTGACAATCGTAACACAAGGAAGGTTTTCCGGTTAAGCTTCCGTCGCGAGGCCTTTCGTCGTCATACACAACCATAAGAAAACTGAGTAAAGAAGCTAACCTGATGTTTCAAAGACAAAGGATTATATAGTTGTCAAGAACCACCGTGAACGCGATTAGATTAAGCCATAGAGTACTATGATAACTCATCTATTAGGGGACAAATTTTGTGGTGGGTTTGGGGCCGTACGACATTGCAGCTCGTCACATTGTACTGCGTTTTTTAGAATTGCCAAAAAAGTCTATCTGATTGTAGAGAGATACAATTATCCGAATTTCAGAAATTCTGTTGCTGACTGGAGACGACATATAACAACGGCCTGTGTATGAAAAACAATGCTGAGGAAATAAAAGTCACAAAGCCTAGTTGGATGCGGATTTTCTGTTTATGAGTTGCAAGCCTATTTGTTTACGGTGTTACTCACTGAGCCACTGTATGTCTGAACAGTATTTAGGCAACCATTTTGATTTTGATTTTGATTACTGTAGCTGTCATCTATCTAGTGATACTAACTTCGAATGTTTACCAATTCGAGTAGAAAATAAACTTTCCCAGTCGGTCCTCCCTTATCAAAGCATGCGCTTGCACACACTGCGCAAGCATGCGCATTCGCTTTCGCAATATCAAGACCACATCACTTCATGGTAGCTGATTTGTTTTGCAGCACCGGGATATCTTCTGTCTGTTAGATAATTAACGTTGCCTGGGTCTTTCTCTCAAGTACCAGGTCCGTTCACGATCTGAAAGGAAGACCGCAATTTTCACACTTTCCTTAAGACCGTCTGTTAAAAGATATCCATAAGGTTTGCATTTATTCAGCAGGTGAGGACAGCCTCCTTACTTGAGAGGCTGTTTGACGAAGACGTTTATGACGAAGGATCGATAATTGAACTAAAGCCATTTTTGGTTATCAATAAAAACCTTATCCCTGAAATAAGTTGCCGTATCGCAACTACTGTGCTGAGGATTACTTCTATCTGGACAGTCAGCAGAAAACTTCTGTTTGATCAAGCTAACAGCTCCCACAACAATCTTGATAACCTTTCACTGTAACGTTGATTCTAGTGTCGACGTGATTTGAGTGCTTTCAGGTCTCCGATATTTATCTCATTTTTGTGTGTTTTAGAGCATTAGCAACCCTATTTGTTCAGACCACACCTTCCATATGTGGTGAGGTCAAATTTTTCAAGACCATCTTATACAACTCCCGAACGTTCCGTAATTTTCGCCTTTCTTCCAGTCTAGTGTCAATGACATATACACGGCCGTTCGTGTGTGGCACAAGTCGACGTAAATCACATTTTACTAAGACGAACTGCCGTCGAATTTGCGCTCAGTTGTCACTGGTCGGCACCAAGCACAATCTATTGTCTTATCATATCATGCAACTTGAAATCATACAGTAATTGCTTCATTGCGCACTCGCATTGGGAAACTCATAAGGCCTGTTGCGAAAAGAATGGATCAGGATCAATACATCACTAGCTTAACTGTTCAGATGAATCCTTATGAGTTGTATGGATGAGGTATAGTGCAGCCGCAATTAACATGGCTTTAGTAGGTTACCGCGTCTCCTTGCTAGCAGTCAGAATATAAACTGTCGCCAGTGTTTCGTCTCCGGGTGGGTGCCTAGGAGCGGTGGATGTGCAACTGATTAAAACCACTAAGCTAAGTCACACAGTTGCCAAATTGATCGTCTTTGTCTAGAATTCCGAGGCCAGGTGACTAAATTGCAGCTACACTTCAACAGGACTCACAACTCTGGCTGATCATATCGATTCTTTGTGGGACGCGTCCCTTCGTGCCTTCAGTTTACGCGGAAGAAACCAGTCAAGGATAAAAATTGCAGTCGCTTGCAGTTCATCGTTTTGCTGTTGCTGCAATCAGCAAAGTGTCGTTAAAAAGAGGCGGCTTGTTGATCGATTTTATGAAGCCAAGCACCGTTTGTGCAGCAAGAGGCTGGCCTATTGGATGTCATTGTTATGCTACAGGTCTGTCTGTGGCTGTGACGACCGTCATGAGATGTGGTAGGATACAAACGAAACCACTCACAACAGAATGTATACCGGTTGAAAACGTCTTAGAAAACCATTCCGAGCACTGTATTGTGCAAAGTTCCCATGCAGAATTAGGTTACCCGTTCGATATTGAAATTTGATCGCTAGTTTTTAGTGCACTCGAAATTCGTCTGTGATCATTTGAAATAAGAGCATAAAATTGTGCATATCAATTGAATCAAGATGGGCTTGTATAGGTTTGTGGACTTCCTCAGGATTCACCTAAATTTCCACTTTGTTTGCTGCCCCTGTATGAGCAAAGCGGTAACAGCTACCTTTGTTTTTTTCGTGAATTAGGCGGAGAAAATCGCATAGTTTCCTGTTTGCGACTTGGTCATGTCATGGAGCATTAGCTCTCCTATTTTACCACACGTAGCTTACTCTGCTGGCTCAAAATAATACGTTTGGCCTTTCTCATAAAACCATCAGGCTAAATAAGAGAGTCTTGTTATCCAGCGTCTAGCTCAGGGAATAGCTCAACCTCTACCGTCCTCCATTAAACCCAGAGGAACGAAATACGCGACCATTAAAGTTGCAAACCACTTGCTAGATAAGAAACACCAAATTAAACCATCGCAACTGTTCAGCACGCTTTATTGAGTGACCTCTGATCTTCCGCAAAACCGCGGTCCAAACAGCGGAAGCGACTGCAACTTGGTTGTTTCGACTGTCACGTGAAAATGCTAACTTTACCGTAACCAACCAACTTGTCTTTTCGAGAGACCCAAACATCCATTCAAATATCAGTCATTTTTGAAGTGTGAACGCATGGGACCTCACTTATTATGCCGATCCCACACAACATTGTAAAGTGTTCGTGAACATACTCGTCTGATGTCTTTCTATCGAAAACACGACTCAACACCAATATGCCTTGTCCAAAAGTATGCAATCCGTTGAGCGCAACCAGATGCACAAAGACGTTCCCAAGGCAGTGTGATTTCGTGTGTGGATCGATCAGTTGGAACCGAGACAATGAACTCGCCACATTCTTTACACTATCAGCCTGCATAACTGTGTGATAAATGGTCCAAAAAAGCGACAATGAATTGGTATCGTGAATTGGTGAAGTTCCATTCCCTGGTGCGTCGATTCCAGTCAAGTTCGAATACTGTTTACCTCCCAGTGGCTATAAAATTTTATGTTATATGCAAGGAACAATGGTGTTATGGTTATCCATGTTTACCGGGTGATTTAAATCTTATGCTTTGATGTACAATACAAGACTAGTGTTGGCAATAGCAGGAGTCCTTCCGAGAAACATTTGAAGAAGCATGCTAACAACCTTTATGTGCATACGGGTGGCGGCTGGCCTGTTTTGGTTTTTTGACGAATGGTCTAAATCCCGTACGTCATCATCTGAATTCAGGAAGCTGAATCTAGCTGTTATCATCTCCGACCAGTGACTGATGAACAAAATTACGAACATTCATGTGACGCTATCCTTTCAGACTTTTATAGACAGGGGTCGATTGCAACTCCAATGGATCTGACGGAATAGTCCCCAACTGCGCTCATCCCCAGCTAGATCTTGGTTTATCAAGAACACTGCACGAACCAGCTAGGTTACCCTTATCAGCAACGAATATGGCAGTCTACCTTGGTTTCAATTTGTAGATGCGTAGCACTCGCAACTACTATCTTGAACGTCATCATCGGTGATGATCAGGGTACGGGCCACATATTTCTGCCGCAGCATTCCCATTATATTCCGATCAGCTGTGTTAACGTAGCCTGGCTTCCTGAACATCATTTCTTTGAATGGCAGACTCATTAGCTTTGGTTTCTCATCTTGAAGTAGCAGGATACTTTCATTTGTACTGGTTTATAGACAAGAGCTAGATATTTCAAGTAGATTGCGTAGTAAAGCGAGTAAGCCAAGTGATTCCAGGGCCGTATACGGTGTCTTTTTTTTTAGGTATTCCGCGGCGTTTTCTTAAAAAGTCAAGAATAGCCATGGGTCCCTCAAACCACGACTTCTCTTCCGAAACAAACGAAATCATTTGGTTTTCACAGAGATTTGTATTACCTCTAGGCTGGCTTCATAAAACAAAATTAGTAACGTGACTCATGCTCCCAGCTTATGTATGGTTTTCGGAGTTTACTCCCGGTCAGCATAATCCGGGGGGAGAAACGAATTTGGGTAACCAACCGGAAGGAGTACAAGGCGTTAAATGGGTTCAAAATGGTTGGTTAAGCAGAGGGCGGTCTAGAGATATTGTGAAAGTGGGTTCCGATGATCCCATACTTTGGAAGGTACAAATTACTTACAAGGTATGAGTACGCAAGAACTTAAACAGTTGGACACGAAACGCCGGAGTAACGGATTGTGTTGTTTATTTAATTTTCTCACAGGAGGACAAAGAAGTGACTGTTCGATTCATCGGCGCTAACCCTCGAAACGACGTACGGCAAAATGGTACGTTCCTTACAGTGGACAAATATGATGAACGAACAGAAACTTGGAACACTGAATTCACCGATGCAAACTGGGAAACAAAGTGAGTCGAGCTGGACCTTATTCGTTGAATCTCTTAAGTTAGTTACGTACATCAAGTGTTTATAGCTCACCTGAGCATCTCAGAGTTCATCGACATCGAGCAACAGGAATCAACGAACAGAATTTAGTGTTATAAGGAGAGGCAATCCAGTCTGAAAACCACTGTAAAATTATCAATTTTCCTCACGACGGAAAAGTTGGAAATGCAAACAACTCCCATCTAGTGAATCCCGAGGTGGTCTGAGGCAAACCCGTAACTCTCCTCGTAGGATTCTCGATAACCTGCTATCCGGTTACTTGTGACTGATCAACAACTTGGTTAACTACGCTTCTGAGTCATTGTAAGAACGAATGCACAATTTCTACTGAACACCGCAGAGTTTTCTGTGCATCGGTACAAGTCAAGACTGACCTCGAAGAAGTATGTAACATTTTCCAGTCATTTTGAATAAAATTCATTGAAATGCAGTTCTCCTGGAAATGAGCAAATCTTTCTCCTCATTGCTATACCACACATGCTTCGCATTTGGATCTCAAGATCAAAGTCTTCAAAACAGGCGAGTTATCCACAGCTGTG